CACACGTCTGTGGGCATCTGCCAAAAGGTGGCATTTCGACGCGACGTGGCAGTGTTGGTGAAGAAGCACTGGAAGGGGTGTGTGCTTGTTGAGTGCTCAGCCCTCTACAACTTCAATACACTGGCCATTCTCAGAGAGGTGCTGCGATTTGTACAGTATCGACAGTGTAGCCAAAAACTCTCCACAACGCAGACTGTACAGGCGGTGTGGCAGAGGAATCAGTGTTGTATTCTTTGAGTCACTTTCTTCCTCTCTTTACTTCTCCTGTCAAAAAACATCAAGTATCTGCATTGCAATAAAGCAGCATGCTCATTACGAGAGCATGAATTATCCAACTGAATTATCTTCTCCTAACTATTTCGTGTAGAGGCAATTAAGTATGCTCGGCCACCGGACCGAGTCAATCAGTGCAGTGGTGTGTGGTAGGAGGAAGACGAGAGATTGGGAAGGAGGCAGTGAGGCAGAATGAGGTGTGGTATACGTTTGGTGTAACGATGTGTCTCCGTAGTGATGTTCTTAGTTAACCATTTCACCAGTGTGTGCATACCCTGTCTCATTCGTTCTGGATGGCTTGACAGAAAGGCGAAAATGTCATAGCAAACATCACAGCATGCTGCGTGTGGCATGTAAGATCACTTCTCTCCTCGTCATCGTTTGGGTGTGTTCCCCACGTCATGCCGACTGAGTGTGTATCGCATACCACACCGCACTTGGTTAATGGAGGTGCTGTAGAAAATTCACCCAATTGTTCTAATTCGAAAGAGAGGGTTAGCCTTCCTCGTGCTCCAATTGAATTAGGAAGACAGAAGGTGAGGCCTTTATTGTGTGGAAGCAAGTGCAAGTGTGAATGCGCATTGCCTGTCGAAGGCGATTTTTAGGCTATCATGCGACATGCACGAAGGGAGACGACGGAATTTCAGAATCACTCCATTGCAAGCATTTGTGCCTTTAATTGCCATGGTGGATGCACAAATACAGAGAAGGTGCTGAGGCAATTTGCATTGCGTAGTACTTGTGCTCGACAATTCGTCGTATCTGTCGTTCTTGACTGGCGAAATTAGAGGGGCACATTACCTGTCGCGTCTCTGACACATGCGAGCAGAATAGGTGGTAGTTTAACAACGTCTTCCCCTCCAGATATTATTGTGTAATTGCAGTTGTGTGCAGATGTCACCCATGTCAATGTGATAAGTGGGGGCACTTTGATGAGTTGAATCTAGATGGTATCCTATGCACAATGCACCAACCTCATGTGAGTACACATAAATGCAGACTCTAATGTGTGGTGTGGACAAACTCTTGCAGCATAATTCCCTTCTGACACGTTGGACACTGCCAATGCTGCTGTGCACTCGACCATGAGATCATTGACTTTGTTGAGGTGGAGAGGTGGGTGCTTTGCAAGCTCCAAGTAGTGTGCAAAAGGCAGATGCATCCACTTACGTCGGCTTCCAATCCACTCACACGTGGCTGTGCGTTCGCGCGTTGCTTTGTGTCTCGTGGAGCGTGAATCGCATCCATCCAGTTAGTGAGTAAGTCAATCATTCATTAACCGCCTCCTCAATACTGCCGTGAGTGCAAAACTTGTGCTCAAATATTTGCGAGGCTGTTAAGCGACTGCGCACAAAATGTGGAAGGGGAAAACTGAAACGTGGATGGTGACGAAGTAAACTGGTTAGTGTGTGTTTGCATTCAGGCTAGTGTCGAAATGATCAACACGCATATTTACCCTTCTGTGGAATACTGCTCCACTTCACGCATTCCTCTATTGTTCTGACCTGAACAGGTCTACCTACGGAGCATATGGAATATGCCTTGCTCATTGCCAGTTCTGCATCAGGCATTGCCTTCAAGCGTAAATGTCTGTGGACGAGATGGACCAACCAGAGAGGTGTGGAATTCTTTACAACACATGCACAGTTTTGGATGCCAATAGTCAAACTACCCAGAAGGCTGAGGGTGTAGGAGCCTGTGCACCTCTTGATGGTATTAGTTGCCAAAGACAGGTAGTATGTTAGACACATTTAGGCCTTATTATGTTAACCTCGCTGCTATCCGCCAACACATTACACGCACTTTCTTGCCAGGCAGACATAAACCAGATGGCCGCATTTAAGTAGTGTCCCCAAGACAGCAACCACTCGTGACCTTTATTGTACATGCGTGTGTTTCAGACATTCCACTGCGCCTAAATTAACCCACCAGAGTGCGTATTCATTCCACTGCAGCGGTTAATTATGTGGAGCAGTAATGCGTAATTTTTAGCGTTCAAGGAATTTATCTGCCCGGTTTGTGTTTTCCTAGTAGGTTTAATTGCTTACTCGACGGCCCACATACATGCTCACCTACTTGAGGGGGAAGTCTGCTTCACTTAGTGGAGAAGCATATGCACTGTGTAACTGTCAAGGCCGGTCGGGAGGAGTAGGAGGAGGAGGAGGTGGATGAGGCCAGCGTCTCCTCTGATGTTAATTAATTTACTACTACATTAGGTGCGCAATGAATACGTTGACTGATTTTTTATTAACTTTTCGCATTTGCGGACGAATTGGTGTTTCTCGCTATTCTTAGCGAGTTGGGATGAACTTGACCTTGCAAAGGAATTTGCTGTAGGTGGAACGACCATAACGGAGCATGAAATGAAAGGGGAAAGCAGTGGGTTATACTGCTCGTAAGATTGGTGTGTGCTTTATGTTTGCAGTGTTACCAACTGCTTTGCGGTAATGCGGAAAGTGGAGACTTATGAAAACGGGAAAATATACCTCGTGTGTCAAGTCGTCACCTGAAAGATGACATTTTGGGTGGATTGACTCAGATGCTGAAGGGGACCGTGTAGAGCCAGTGTTTGTTAATTGAAGGCAACCTGATTTGTGAAATATGATCAGGGGTAGTTAGAAATAATTGATGAATGCTGAATGACGTGGTAAGGGGAACGCAACTATGCTGGACTGATCTGATCTGATCCGGTGTGTAGTGGCTGCTGATCAGCTTTAATTTGCATAACAGGTGATTTCTGTAGTGGGATTACCCCTTTTAGTGGTGTCACAGCTTCTAGCCTACTTATTTTGCACTAGATTTGAACCTCGTAAGCAAACAGAGCACCTTAACTTGCATCAGTGAAATATGGAAAATTTTTCCTTACCAGGCTGGCATCAGCTTCGCGTTTAATAATTCTCACAGGGAATCGTATATTTATGCAGGATGTCTTGAGACTTAATTTACTTGGCCTAATTACTAGTAATACTTTCAATTGCTTGTTCCTCATTCCTGAGTGTACCTCTTTAGTACAAATTTGATATGCTAATAGAACCTTCGGCTTTCGCTAGTGTCACGGTACATCCCTTCTAATATACGGGATTGTGCTACCTTCAGTTGCTCGAAATTTGAAGCATTTATGTACCATAAGGTCATTTTACATCGTAAGGTAGTTATTGGCTGTATGTGACCACAATACTGAGTTGTGCATGTTGAGTGGACCTAAGACATGGCGGTCAGTTTGCAGCGAGAAGAGGGATAACGGCGTTAGCATAGTTTTATGCCTTTTGGAACTAGTCGGTGGAGGAAGCGCTTCTCCTTCTTTGTTGCTGTGTGCAGCATAAATGGCGTCAAGTGGAACAGCAGCATATATTATTTTTAGGTCAAGGTTTTTGAAAGGACTCCCGCTAAACGCGACACTCCATTCACTGCCTAAACAAATACTTGATCACAGTCATTATGGTCAAGAAGGCCTGTTTATGGACGAAATCGGTCCAAGGCAAGCTAAAGTGCAATCCTGTGATTGTCGATGCAAACCAATGCGTCCATCAAATCTATTTTTACAAATGATCCTTTTAAATGTCGACCACAGGTAAATTAGAGAAATGGAGAAATCTGTTAACCGAATTTAGCCTATACTCCCGTTTGGCTTATTTTTTTCCTAACAAATTATCTAGTTGACCAAATAACTAATTTCTAGAATGTGGCTTATTACGCTAAATGACCTCGAGATGGACCTGCCATTCTCGTAAACTTGTTCCTTAACACAGCACAAGGGATGTCACCTTTATCGGAGCTTACCTCTTTCACGTGGTTGGCTCACTTCGGACACCAGATATTCCAGCATGTATGTATGCATACAGACAGACAGAGAGGGAGGGAGATGGGCATATGACAGTCAACTATACTTGTTTCGCACCCCAACCATACTCCGGCATTCAAATTTACAACAAGGCCTTGACTGTTGTCATAAATTAAACTCTATTAATTTCACTTCTGGCTGACTTTACTAACCTCTCAATTCTGCCGATACAACGATATCGTGTAGACAAAGGG